GACGTGCAGGAAAGGCTGCAAAGGCCACATCGTGAAAGTGAAAATGGTTTGAATGTTCCATACCCACAGTCATAATAACCCACGATCCTGCAGGTTCATCCCTGGTCCTTGAAGCTGAAGGGACCTGCTCCCCTTTTGGCAGCCATAACAGCCCAACACGTGCTTGCCATAAACCTGCCTTGGTCACTTAGAGGTCAGGTGCCTGCCTTGTGACAAGGAACCAATCAGAAGTTAGTTAGTCACTAGAAAGTCAGATGCCTGTCTCGTGACAAGGAACCAATCGGAAGTTAGCTGGTATGGACAAGCGCACAGCAATGACGTAGAGAGCATAGCAACCACCCTGGGAGGACCTATGGGCCATAACAACAAGTTGACCAATCAACATAGGGCAAGCCTGGAGGCACACCAATCCTGAGCCTGTGCATACCCCTAGACACTCCCCTTACTGCCCTATAAAGATCTGTGCGCAGTGGCTTTAAACTGTCTTTTCTAGTCATCCGCCATGGTGGGTGGATCAAAGACCCGAGCTAACATGGGGTTAGCTCGTTAAACTACAATAAAGCCTCATGCAATTTGCATCAAGCTTTCGCCTCCATTCTTTGTTTGGGGTGGCCGCGGTCCTGGGCTAAGATTCTGGAAGCCTCAGCTTTCCGAGGGTCTTACAAAGCAACAAATGTCTGGCCACTTCAGTTCAGCCATTGGACCTTTAATGACATACCCTCCCTCCCCCCGAGTTTCATCTGTGGACTAAGGGCATTTCCCAGGGCTTTCCATCTTTGACCAGCACAGCCAGAAGCTTGCAGGAGGATAACGACTTTGACTCCATGGCCACTTCCCACGAGAGCAGCCTTTCTTCCCCAGCCATAGAATGAAATTCACACCCCTCCCTGCTTCCAAGTGCATGCTATGATCCTCCTTGCATTTTATGGAGGGCGTTCTATGTGCATTGCCTCCTGAGGAACACTGGGAAGCTTCTCAAGGACAACAAGCCTGATTACTTTGTCTTGGAACCTCAGCACCTGTGGTTTGGAGATAGTCATGATATTTATTTCAGTTTGCTTAGCATTTTACTGTTTTCCCAAATGAAACCATTTACTCCATGCTTGCCCCATGCCCTTCGTGCTGCTGGATGAAGGCAAAACAAACCAGAACTAAAACCAACCAACCAGCTAACCACCACCCACCCACCCCACCCCCCCCAAAAAAAATAAGAGACCAGAGACTGTTCCCCTGATGGGAGCTGCATTCTGATGGGGAAAACCAAGAAGGGCAGTTTCCCACCAAGAGCCATCACACGAGACTCCACTCATTCCAGCCGAGGGACACAGAGCAACATTTGAAGAAGCAGGAGGGAAGCCCTGCAGTGAAGTACCTTTCATGACCCAGTAAGTGCCACCATCTCTCTCTTTTAAGATTGTTTCCAACTCCGCTGTGACCTGCAAATAACGAGGTGGCCAAACAGCTCTTGTAAAGCACAATGAAACTGTCATGTCCACCGAGCATGAGATGACTCTCCTGCATACAGAGACCCTCATAGTCCCATAATCCAGCAGTAAAGTTCTGGGTCAGCCATTTTAGCAAACTGCCTACGGTGACTCATAGATGCCTACCCTATACGCTACACACCCCCAGGCACTCTCATGGGAGAGTATCTACTACAAGGGACCTAAGACAACAAATAGGAAGTAGGAAGTCAAACTACCTGTCCTTGGTACTCTGTATCCCCTTGCACATTCCCGAGCCAGCTCTCTGAAAGACCCTACTGGTCTGGCTTCTGATTCTGGTCTTCATAAACCTGGCTAAATTCTGAAAGGGAGATGCCTTGGGTCACAGAGACCTAAACTGAATAAATCAGTTTAGCACAATCCTTGAACAATGGAACAGAACTGTCAAAGGGGCAGGAGAAGGATGAAGCATCTATTCTTACAGTTTCCTTTCCTTAGAGAAGGGAGGGGCTGACACTGAGTACAGGAGTGAGAAGTCAGGCTGGGATGGGTTCCTTTGATGGGAACATTGGAGCCTATGGAGGGAGAGAAGTCCATGGGGTTGGGTGAGGCTCCTCAGAGCTGTGTTAGAAAACTGCCTAGGCCAAAGTGGCCAATGCCCAACAATTGTTCCCACCCACACTTCAGCCTCTGTTTAGCATTCCTAGTCCCCAGATCAACCCTCCTTCCTACCCCTGAAAGCACCACTTGAACCAGCACCAGACCTTCCACTACTTGGTATAGATTAAGAACACTATACCAGCACCAGAGTGCCCTGGACCTTTTCAGGTTTCAGAACATTTGTGTATATACAATAAGCTATCCTGGAGGTAGAACCCAAATCTAGACTTGACATTGACCTGTGTCACATACTCCTCACACACAGTCAGAAGGTGATTCTGGGTGACATATTTCATGGTTCTGTTTTGATTCTGACTCTCACATGAGAGCAGGTGTGGAATTCTCTACATGTACAAATGAAATTCTGGATTTGTAATAGTTCAGATTTGGGGTTTGGGAATGAGACGTGATCAACCTCGTTTTTGCCTGGATACCTCATTTAATTATTCATCACAGTCACTCCACTAGGAAATGGTAGCTGCTAGGATGATAAGGACCCTGAAGCACAGAGAGGTGAAGTCATTTCCTCAAAGACAAACAGCAAATAATAGCCTAACCCAAAGCTTGATGTGGGGGTGTGGCTGGGATGGCTGCATCCTGGTTGATGTGCTCAGGAGAGTCCTCACCAACCCCTCAAACAAAGAGAGTCCTTGACACGTTCTAGATTCCTGGAACACACATAGTTTATAAAGTACAGTGGTGTTTGTGCAAGCCCAAGTGTCAGCATTTTCTTTAAAAATGTCCCAAAGTTACAGAAGTGCCAGTCATCTCAGGACACTGGGCACCCCTCTCTTGTGAGTTTGTCAAGGTACTCAGGAGGATGGCAACATATTGCCTCCCTGAGACTCCAGCTGTGCATCTAATAAAGAAGGCGATCCCAGCAGCCAGTGTTCATTAGGCACCTGCTACACTCGGCTCTGCATTGAGTGAAATTGGGAATTTGGTCATTTCTGCTTTAGAGGAGGAAAGAGGCACAGAGTCTGCTTTTCACAAGGTCACACAGCTGGTCTGCTGGGGAACCAAGACAGTGAGTCCTTTTGTCCCTGTCTTTGGAGTCTGGGTGTGTCGTGAGTTGGGGTAGCATAGGCCACTATCAAAGAGATGTTGAGTCTTGGCACAATGAAAGCCCTAAGCCTCATCAGAGGTGGGCAGGGAAGCCTATGGCACTGTGTACACTGGAGATGTGTCGGACCTGGCCAGGATCAAGGTCTTATGTGCTGGGGGAAGTACTGGAGGAAGGGTCTGGGACAGGGAACAGAATTCAGAACAAGGTGTCAAAGACAAAGGGATAGCAACAGTAAAAGCTGCCCACTTCATGACTTTATACCACTTTTATTTAGGGCCTCATTGCACTATCTCCCAGGTTCCCCATAGGGACCTAGCATGGAGATGTTTGGATCAAGGGGCTGGGAGACTGATGTTGCCTATATAAAGGTATCGTGTGTGTGTGTGTGTGTGTGTGTGTGTGTGTGTGTGTGTGTTTCCCAGTGCTGCAGAGAAACCAAAATAATTCTCATGTTTCCATTACCATTGACAGTGGGCTTTAGGGGCTGATGTTTTGGCTGTTCCAGACAGACAGGGCCATGAGCTGTAATTCCACAGGCTTAATGGCTCTTTAAATTGCTGTTGGGTTTCCACGGGCGAGGCTTTATCTTGCCCAAGTCCTCCAGCACCCTGTCTCAGCTCATTTCTTCAAATTAGAGGCTCTAGTTTTTATTCATAGTAACCTGCTGCTGTGAGTTGAGGGCATTTCAGCCATTTCCCTCTTACAACATTCTCCAGTGGCCACTTACAGGTCCTAGTGAGTTAATGCTGCTCCCAAAGCCAATCCGTGCCTGAGTTTCTCAGGCCCTTCTGACTTTTAATTTCTCTTAAAAAACGAGCTTGTGACTTCCCACCATTCCCTTTTGGATGCTTTTACAAATGACAGCATTTTAGTTTTATGATTTGTGAAGAACAACTACAAAGGACACATTTCGGGCTTGGAAATTTTACACAGTTCAATGCCTGGTAACAGCTCAAATTATATCCCAATTTCATCCTATGTTGAGTTTCCTAAATATCCTTTCCATTTGGACTCAGACCGATGAGTTCTCCATGGAGAGCATGGTCTCTTTGGGCTCTCACACTATGGGATGGGCCAGCTTCTGGTACTGTACTCCAGGGCAGTAAAAGATGCATGAAGCTGGTGTTTGGAAGCAATGTCACCTTTCCCCATCTTGATCTCTAAATGAAATCTGGGCACACAGTCAAGGCCAAGTTCAGCACTATACTTGGAGGAATTCTGTATTTCAGAAGTGAAAATAGGTGGAGAAAATACTGGAGGAAGGCTCTGTGACAGGGAACAGAATTCAGAACAAGGTGTCAAAGACAAAGGGATAACAACAGTGAAAGCTATCGGGTTAAGAATGGGAGAAGATAGAGCCTATTACCAGCTTATGAGATATGTGACTTTGAGAAAATTCTCTTTGACCCTCAGTTTCCTTATCTGCAAATAAGGGATCTTGTGTCATTCGATTGATATAACTGTAAGAACAGGTAAGATCATACAAACACGTAAACGGGTGGACAGGAAATTGTGGGCAGATGGGAGCATTGGCTACAGGTCCACATCTACCACAGTATTCACATGTGATATACAGGAACCAGCCAGGACCGTGTATTAGCTATGCCCATGGCCAACTGTGGTGATTGTTCTCATGTAGATGGATGCTCATCACTTATCCTCAGGGCCTAAACTGTCTGCTCAGTAACATTTCCCATTCACCCTTTTAAAAAAATCTGTGACAAGGACATTAAAATGGAAGAAAGAAACACTCGCCAGGGTCTGTGTTGTAGCACATGGAATGGCCCTCTTGTTTGACACCAGCCCATGCCATTGGAAGTCAGACTTACCACACTGAATCCTTGGTGAGTTTGGAGCTCACGCTCCCATCTTCTTCCAGGAAGACATCCATTTGCAAATTGGCATCGTTGTCATGGGCTGAGAAGTAATTGGTAACAACTCGAGCTGGGATTCCAAGGCATCTTAAAACTGCAGGTGAAAACAATCACTGGAGACATAAACCCATCTAACCAAACACAGTGAAAACTTCTTTCCTCCATGGGGCTTTCCTCTTTCCCAACATGAAAAATCCCTCCCTTGGATGTTCCACACCCAAGAAATGTGACTTGTTCAGTCCCTCGAGAGCTGGAGAGAGACTGTTTTTGGAACCACAGATCAGGTGCCAATGAGATCCTTCGTAACAGAAGTCCAATAGCTCCTTGTTAGTAGTTTAATTCTAACCACAATGTCATCAAAGGACCAGCAATTTCATCCTCTTAAAGGGGGTTTTCTGAAAACACAATTTTTAGAAAACTCATCATAAGTTAGGATTATACAAGTCCCTCAGTGGGAATGAAATTTGCTCTTGGAACACTATGTAGGGTACACCACCCAGTCATTTGACTTGTTAGATAATAAATTACCTGGGTGCATCTCCTGCCATATGCACCTATTGATTAAGCTTAATCCAAATGCCCTCTCTGACTCCCAGGACGCCAGACATCAGGGCTCATTGGAAATAATTTAGCTGACAATTTTAAGATTAATGACTTGGCTTGCCTTTTCTCCCCCTCTCCATCAGAATAATTTAGCATTTTTTAAAACAAAGACTATCTGGCCCTTTCAACAGAACAACCTTGGAAGACCAAATGTGAGTTTAGTGGAGATCAGTGTCCTGTCCTTTAAATGACTTGGCCTCGGTCACCAAATAACAGGGTGACAGCCACCACTGGCTTCACGCCTACTTTACTCTGCAGCCTCTCTATTCACCAGTATAATGATTGGTGCTCATGTTCTATTTTTGGCAGATTCCAATGTGAATGATTGGGTAATCATTATTACTGAAGGGGACTTGATCAAGGGTCTGCCTTACGCTCAGTTTAAGACAGGGGAAGACTGACTTCCAGGTACCAGTTCCTCCTCCCATCAACTTTCCTTTCTGGTTGTTTGTATTGTGATCTCTTTCTGGCGAAAATCTGCCTTTGCTTACTTTGCAACCAAAGCCTGTTCTCAGGTACAGAAAGCCAACTTCCTTTATGCAAACAGTGTACACGGATGCAAGGTTTTACTATCCTATCTGGTTCTAAGTCTAAAGGTATTGAGCTACATCGGTGGAATATTAGGTCTGGGACGAACTGAGGTCTTTTACAGTTTCCTGGAATGAGTTTAGGCAAGTGGCTTCCTCTCTGTGCCTTGGCTTTAAAGTTCCAAGGAAGACAGTCCCTGAAACCATCAGCCACTATGACTCAGGCTTCTGTCTGACATCAGGACCAGCCTCCCTGAAGACAGTTATTCTCAGGAAATGGATGTTCTTTTAATACTCACATATAGTCAAGAGGCTCAGAAAATATTTATATGCAGGTCAAGTCATAGGAAATCACAACAAATAAAAGGAAATGTCTTTTTTTGTTTGTGTGGAACAGGACTAGGTCACAACTTTGTGCTAAAATAGGTGGGTCTCACTATCATTTTAAACAGTATCCTTTCTCAAGCCAATAGCCTCACACTCCCATTTTTAAACATTTTTATTTAAAAATGCTAACCAGGCAAAACATTCTTTATTAATGAGCAGGTAGAAAGGACACTCTGACTTGAACTTAATGTTTTTCCAAGGTGGTAAGAATGGTGTGTGAATGAAAATCATTAATGATGGTGAAGACATATTAAAACAAATGGCTTTTTAATACATTCACTGAATTAACAGTAACATTTCCTGAGCCACGGAAGGGAAGTGCTCTTTGGTAAAATTTTACATAAGACTGAAGAGAATTGTTCTGTTCCCATTTGTTTTGCTCTGCAGATTGGATGTTGGATGGACTACACCCCAGAAAGGTAGCTGGAGAGGTGAAGCTGCTCAGTGAGTACCAATACCTAACTGGTCAGGCTTCCTGAGACTTACAGATGAAGGGGAAGATAAAACGACCCGATTCCCTTTCATATCTAGGACAAGCTTTTAAGTACTTAAAAACATCCACCAGTAAACAAATAAGCATATTTATATAATGTTTCAAGAAAAAATCAGAATATATCTGACCTTCTTATTTATTATCTTAGTTTTTTTTTAATCTTTAAAAGAAATGTTTGAAATGGCTCATGCTTTTCCTACTTCCTTCCTTAGACCCTTCAACCCTCTATTGCTCTGGGTGTCAATGATGGATCATGTAGGAGACAGTCTATCATTCTTCCCATAAAGATTCTGCAGTCAGAGAGACTGTGAGCATATTTGGCCCAGCACAATTTAATTATGCATTGACTATATCCCAAAATAGTTACCCATAAATTCTATAGAGCCAATGGAAGCTTTTAAGTCTCCTTGCCAGGTTATGGGTAAAATGTCTTGAAGTGAAATTTCTTTTGTGTTAAAAGTCATTTCTCTAGCAGATACTTACACGTGTTAAAGACACCAGCAAAAACCCAGCACTGGCCATATCGGACTGGTGTTTCAGAGCTCCTATATTCTAGTAGAATGTCAACACTTCCTGTCCAGGCTGATGGAGGGATGCCATAGGCATAGACATTGTCCCATGATCCAACAAGAACACCTTCATCATCCTTGGCATTCACCTAAAGGAGGTCATGAGAGGTGAAAAAGAAGAAAGGTCATTGAGAAAATCACCCCACCCAGACTGGCATGGGGCAAGCTGAGACTCTCCAGTATCTTCTATGCTCCCTGCATGGCAAAAATACTTCCCATTCCTGTTCAATTTATCACATTAATACCAAGGGTAATGATGAAAGCCCAAAGTGTTCAGAGGTAAGATCCAATGACCAATAATACTCTTTTCCTTAGCAGAGTGTTATCAGCTATAGTTGAATGATGAGTAGGAAGAGTCTTCTAGACTTTGTTTGAAAAAAAGATCCATATTGAGTACTTGGTTTGGCCTAAAATAACATGGGGAGGGTGGGTGAAAGAACTGCAAAAGGAAAAGCTAGGAGGGGATCTTGTATTGGTGAGAGGTAGATTTGACTGACAAATGGGAAATCAGTGATCCAGTGGCCTTTGACTTCAATGTTAAGTAGTGAATGCTAAGAACTGGAAAAGGATAACACATGTTGTCAAAGGTACCGTTAAAATTCAATAGGAAAATAGATGTCCATGAGCACTGTACATGATTGCTTTTTAAAATTTCACTACAGACATACTTTTCAGGTTGGGAAGATGTCTCAGTGGATAAAAGCACTTATGGCATAAGCAAAGGATTGATTTCATATCCTCAATATCCATGTTCAAAGTTGGGAATGGCCAGTATTGTGGGAGGCAGTCAGGAGGATTGCATCATTTTGCTGGTTGCCAGCTCTTTAAGATCCTATCTCAAAGGTGTAAGGAGGAGAATGATACAGCAAGACACTTAATATCCCCTTTTGTACTCTCCATATACATGTGCGCCCCAACATGTGTACATACAGCACATACATACTCACACAATAAATCAAATAAAATATTCTTTAATAATTATTTAAAATTATTTGAGTTGGAGATCAAACCAGAGCCTTGTACTAGGCAAGTACTTTATCACTGGACTACATCTCAGCTCCCAGTTTTATAGTTACATTAAAGGGGATTTCTATTTACCTAAAGGGTCTGAGATATTAATGATTTTAGTATGATAGAGACTTGAGTAGATAGTGGCAATCTAGAATATATGGAAAAGCTTCAATACACACTTAGAGTAGAAAAAAATCTAGTAGACCTAATATGCAGGGACAAAGACAATTGATGTTTAGACAATGAAACAAAGGGCAGAAAGTGGTGATTTTTTTTCTGGAAACTGCTGGATCTATCACTTTCAATGGCGCTTTCATGAGTTTAATTGTAGCCAGAATGCAAGTGAGGAACAGTGATTTTTGTTTTCCAAATGGGCACTGCCTCACAATTAGCATGACAGTGATTTTGAACACTCAAAGTATGGTTTGCACATCAACAGTAATAAAATCCTCTGAGTTCATCAGAGATACATGCTATCACAATCCTCCCAGGCCTATAGGAAAGAAATCTACACCCTAAAGCATGATCCATGCATATTAGTTCAAGAAGTATCAGTCTAGATGATAGTGAAAAGATATTAATTAGCAACAAAGCTGTGCAATGAGGTTATAGAAGCTGTTGATGAAATATGAAAGCAGAGTGAGTTTTTGTGCATTGGCTACTTCACAGGCCTGCTGCCCCACGATCACAGCAACCTGCTGGCTGGACTTCTCCATTTAGCCTGTTGTACTTGACTGGAAAGGACTCTTATTACAAAATGTTTCAAGAGTTCTTTGAAAACAGAGATTACGTCTGTGGAAATATGTCTTTCTAAATTCCAGCAAGACTGAATAAAGAGCTGGTGCTCCAAAACTATTCAATAGTCAGGTCTGTAGGGAGAAACCCTGATTGGAGGTACAGATGACCACGCCCATGGATGGTACCTCTAATCAGGGTTTCTCCCTACACAGGTCTGTATCCAACAACCATGTAGGCTTTGTCCATTGAATATGCTTAAGGCTTCTTAGGAGAAACAGAAGCCAGTCAGGTGGAAGTAACTGTGATGTGATGAAAACAGAGACACACACAGGTGGAGCGGCAGCTCCAAGGAGAAAAGAATCAACTGGGTTGAAGGGTGGTCCTATTGTTTGCAGTTTGGCAGAGGACTTACCAGAGGAGCTGGCCAGAAAACATCATCCAAAGTTGAATAAAGGTGTAATGTCATGAAATAACATGACATGATTAGGGACCTTGGTATGGTTATCATGTAAGTAGTCAGTATTGAATGAAAAGCAATTTCTTTCCTTTGACTTTATGTCCAGGCAGGTTAGAGGGAAGGCTCTTAGGCAGTACTTAGTTAATGTGTTGAATGTTGAAAAAATTAAAAGCTTTCAAGTTTCTTAAAGACCTATGCCAGCAAGCTCAAGCTTTTGATGTGAACTTCGACCTCAGCCAACTCTTCTGGCCCTATTCTTGAGCAATGTTTGTCCTTTGCAGGTGAATTAAGTTTTTAAAAAATCTGTGCCTACTATGATGGAACTTGGGGTGTGTCTGTAATCTGATCTGGTCTCTGTGGAGGGACAGTACGCTATCATTGAGAAGGAGAATAGAGCTTATGGATCCCAGAGGTAAAAGTCCCTAAACTGTAGCTCTGATGTCTGATTTTCAGATAGATAGCCATTAAATAGAATGCTACTAATAGCATAAACTGAATCAAATCAGCTAGGGAGAAGAGTAAGAAATAAATAGCCCTCTTCCCTACAGACCGTTTAATTGTTAATGCTGAATGCTGCCCCTGCTGCTAGATAAATCACAATTCTCACATATTAGCATTTGACCAGATTAGCTACTGTGTTCTAATTAGAACATTGATTTCTAAGGAGCTCAGGCACTGAACGAGATACATTCCAGTGGCAAATGAAAAGGGTTAAAGTAAAACAGCCCCTTCCAGACAACAAAATATGCTGGAGGGACAATTCATGGGCATGCTGGGGTTTTTACTTGCTAGAGTAGGCTGTTGTAACAATGCAATGTGAACTCAAGTTTAGACCAGGGGCAGAATCAAATGTCATGGTTTGGAGTTATTGGTGGTGGGGCACACAACTCAAACGTGGTACTACAGACGAGAAGTGATCTTTAACGTTAATATGGCTGCCTTAAATTTCTATCCTAGGAGCTGCAGAGATGACTCAGAGGTTAAGAATACTGGCTGCTCTTCTAGAGGACCTGTGTTCAATTCCCAGCATTCACTTGGTAGCTCACAACTATCTGTAACTCCAGTTCCAGGAAATCTAACGTCCTCTCTGGTTTCTGTAGGCACTGCATCCCTGTGATGTACAGACATGTGCCTGCACAACACTTATACATATAAAATAATTTAAAAAAACAAATTGATAAAAGCTAAATTTCCATCTCATCATGCCTACAGAATTGGAGAAATGAAAAAGCAGACCCCCTCCAAGTTACTACCAGCAACATCAATGTTGTAAGATAATGCAACAAACTCCAACATGCAGTGTCCAGAGCAGATGAGAGCTATGAGCGGCATGGGGAAGCAGCAGGTCTCAGAATCCAATCTAACCATGGTTCTTTGAAAGACAGACTGATGAAGCAACGCAACTCTACAACTTTTCACCTGTCTTTTAAAACCTGGAGCTGTAATGCCAATATTTATCTTGTTCTGACCAAAAATGATTTCTGTGAAAAAAAATGAGTAAGAAGGGGTTACATATCAAAAGAGGCAGATATTCTATGACTATGGTATGGAAATGTTAGAAATCCAAGAGTGTCTCCTCACAGTGATGAGCTATACCTTTAGTTTCTGCATGGAAAAGCTAATGGAACCCTAAAAGAAGGAGCAGAATGAACACAGCACACTAAGAAAGATGACCTTCTCCTCAATGCATCTCCCTTCCCTGCTCCAGTCTCCCAGTTTCAGAGCAGACCACGAGCTACATTGCCCTCAGAACCGTAGGTCTGAGGACAAAGAAAATTCATCGTAGGTTGAGACGAGTCAAGTTTCATCTATTGGAGCAAATAAAATTCCCAAAGGGAACCGAGCATAAATATAACATGAAACAGAAGAACAAGAGACGGAGTAACTGGGGAGAGGGCAAAGGAAAGAGAGGACCATACACAGAAGAAAATAAAGGAGCAGGAAGCATTTTCTCAAATCTATAAGGACACCACCGACTTCAGGGACAAATGGATGGCCAAACAATAGTATTTATGAAATAACAATGCATCATTAACTTCAAGATACAGAGGAGATGGTGTTAAAAGTAAATGAATGACTACAAAGAGAAAGGAGATGTCAAAGAAAATGTTAGTGGAAAAAACAGAAGTCACTAGAGAGAAGCTAAGAGCTCTCAGGGACACAGATAATATAGCATAAAGGTATTTAGTGTCCCTAAAGTAAAGACACCCTCGAAATGAAAGCAAAGGTATGACCATAATCTAGAGAGTCATTCATGGTCTGAGGTTTGAAACAGGCCCCTAATGTAGAATTTGTAACCAATTTAAATTTTGAATAAAGAAAAAAATCGCCTGATCATCTAGACAAATAGTGCAAATCAGCAAAAAAAAAAAAAAAAAAAAAAAGAGGAATCATGCTGTCTTAAGATTTCCCCACAGTGAGCAGAAAGGTTGAGTCAGGTGTAGATTAGAAGAAAGGATATGTGATAGATAGGGTTTTAGTTGGGGGGGGGTGATAGTGGGAGAGGGGAGGGAGAAGGGAACTGGGATTGTCATGTAATTCAATCATGTTTGTAACTCAAATAAAACAAAAAAATGTTAAAATAAATAAAATTAAGATTTACATGTTGGCATAGTAAGGTAATTCTAAGCATCATTTGTTGCTATTGTTCATATTTTTAGGATAGTCTTTCTATCTTTAACCAAATTGTCTACTTAAAATACAATGAAGGCCACAGAATAATTTTTTAACAACACTGGAAACTTTCCGGCTCATAAATTTTTTTTTCTCCACAGTGCCATTCAGTGACAAAACACTGTCAATCAACATCCACATATTCCCAAGAGAAAGGGGAATCCAAACTTTCCAAGGATAAGGGAAGGGAGCATAAAGCCCCAGTCAGGA